AAAATTCCTGCTAAAATTTTTTTTGCTGCAGAAATAATTCTACAGTGTCCAGCCTATGAGTTGTTATTATTTCTAAAAGAAGGGGTAAAAATGATGTACACAAATGTCCAGTAATTAAATATGTGATGTTACGTAACCTTTTTTATGTCTCTACATCTGTTACACATTACACCCAGCTGTGAGCTGTTGTCCATGCTTATCTGTACAGTTTAAGCAGTTTGAGTTCTCCGATTTGATTCTGCAAATTTGTTGGTTGGTATGGTTACCACTGTGTGAGACTTCTTCTGCGAGTCTGGTGGCCAACACTGTACTCCTGTGAGTACATTTTTGTTACTATGTGACTGTTCTCTGTGAATAAATGAGAATCTAGGATGTCTGGGTGACAGTTCTACATATAGCATTAGCATAACATTTTCCACATACCAGACCCTGTGTGCAGTAAGTTGCATACTGCAGTAGATGAATTCTCTCTCTCTCACTGCATTTGCAGTGACACAGAAGGGCAGTAATATGGCCAGTGAAGAATTAGTGTCCTGGCTTATGCTTAAACATAGAAGGCAATTGTTTATTTCCTATTGTCAATGCCTGGTGATGCACAGGAGATAAAGCAACACTCATGTTGCTGCGCAAGCCCCCTTATGAAAAGCGTCTAGCTTTTTAGCGTGGAAGAACTTTCAGCTGATAGGAGGCCAGTATAGATGTCTCCTTAGCTATTATGTCTGTGAATTACAAAGAGAAGGGAGAGTACCAGGTACTCAAATTTAAGCAAATCATCTTCTTGGGATTTTTTGTTAATAAGACCCTGCCTCAAATTAAGGTCTGAGAACCAGAGAGCTGTAGTTGAGTCCCAGTAAGTGTAATTGAGTCCCAGTCCCTGCTGCTGCCTCCACCCTGTTGCATCAAGCCATTCCGAGCTGATGCATACCAGCAGGAGTTATTTCACTCTGTTTCAAGAAAGAAAAACCTGGCATGAAAATGATTGCCCCAGACTATCGAAACATGAACTCAAAACCTGCATTTTATATGCTTCTGCCTCAACAACCATTGATGATGATGGTATTGTGCCTAAACAGATAAGTGAGATCATCTTTCTGCAAGGAGACAAGGAATTTTGGGGCAATAGAAATAAAACTTGCATTTTATATGGTAACTTAGTTATCACTAAAAATAAATTAGATTATGTAGGTGAGTCTCCATATAATGCTTTATTTTGCGAGTGGTGTAGGTGCAATTGACTGAGTTATTTACACTATGGCTGCAATTTAAAGCTTTACTCAGTTTACAGGATATTGTCATATGCTGCAATTTTTAGTCATACTTAACTAGATCAAAATTAGGCTGGGTTGTCTGATTTATTTGCATTTGCAGTGAAATCAAAAACTGAATTGCCTCCATCTAGGTAGCAATAAACTGTTTTGAAGAAGAGATATTTTTAAAGGCAAACAGGTAATTATACAAGGTGTTGTTATACAAGTTATGCAGGACTTGCAAAAAGCTCTTTCTAGCCCTACTAGCCTAAAGTCTTAATTTTGAAGCATATTATCCTTTAAAGTATGAGACAGTAGTAAGCTTGGCATTTTCTAGTTGTTGAAATTAGGACAAAAATGTTCGTTGAGTCCTATGCTTTATGAAAACTACTTAAATCCCTTTTATTTTTAAACTGAAATTTTACAGGCAATAGGCCTGATTTTCATTTCACATATGCTGGTGTCAAATCAGAGTAGCTCCTCGGGATTTTTCAGTTTGCAGCTTGGGTGGAGACTGATTTAAATCACATTTTAGTGGAGAGACCCTTATTAATGCTACTATAGTCACAACAGCCCTTTGAATATGATTTTTGTCGGTTTAGTCAATGAACACCACCCCCCCCCCAATACACACTTTCAAATGCCAGATCCAGGTCATTTTATCAAACCAGAATGCAATACGTATTTCGAAGCTCTTAGCACAGGCATTTGTGAAACCAAATATTTACAGAGCCTAAGTCCACTTACCACAATTAATGTGCCACTTCCTAAGCCTGTCAACTTCATAGGCTTCCAGACTGAGTACTGGGTTGATGACAGTCAGGGAGACCAGTTCAGGCCATTAGTCTAACCATGTCAATACCTATGCTGCCTATATAGCCAAAAGCTTTTTCTTTCTGCCCTGGACCCAGCCTGTGCTCTCCATAGCCATGAAATACTGCACAAGCAGCTGTCTTATTCCTCCTTTCAGGAGATCAGCCAATGTCTACATATCTTTGTCTAAATATTCAAATATCTTGCTGTCTAAATGTCTTTGTCAGAAGCTTTGAAGAGCCAACATCTCTCCCTCATCTCACCCCCATCATCTTTTTCAAATAACTTCTTGTTTCTTGGGAAAAATGCTTTTGTTCTGCTAACTGGAAGCTTACTACATTCCAATTCCATTTAATTCTGCTTTCTTATTTATGGTATTTCAGTAAAAAGAATATGTACATATGTGTGTCTGAGGGATGTCACTTCATTGTGACTGTAATAGAAAAAAAAACCACCATAGAGCCAGATTCCTCCCTCCCCTAAAGAAAATGCAGTCTTCTCAGATGTTATACTTCCTTACAGTCAGATCTTAAAAATAAAAATAAAACTTTTAAATATCAAGGAAATTAAGCACCATTGCATCTCCCCCTACTGATAAACTGCAGCAACATTTAACAAGACAATGTCTGACTTCTATGCTATATTAAAGGGAAAGGTCATAGTTAGCTGTGTATATAAAAAACTGTTTAATTCTCTGTATGCAGCCATTTTAATGTAAAGTCAAAGTTAAAAGGTAGTTCAGTCATGGGTGAAGTGCTCTTGAAAGTATCAGCCTTGCCACCTGTTTCATTTTTATATGGAGTGAAGTGAAAGAAATCATTTAACAGCAGCTTTCACTTTACCCACAGAGATCACATATTCTTCACCCTAATGAAACGCACCCAAAGGAGTTAACTGAACAAAACACCAATACTTAGTAAAAGCTAGCAGGGCTTGTTACTTCTGATTTCAGAATATGCCATGATAGCTCTTTTTTCAAAGATACTGCCTATAGAATGAGGATGGTCTCTTCTCTTAAAAGAAGCTTAAACCCAGCATTCCGTAAACCAAACAATTTCTTATAGGTTTGTGACATCTTCTGCCAAAACAAAGGAATCTTTTTGGTTTGTGGTTTTTTTTTTTTTTTTAAATAAAGCAATTATCCTTCAGAGAGATCTGCTGAGCGCTCTCTCATGAGCATTTTTCTGAAGAGATGGCCTTTTGAAGGTCCTTGTCCATGGATGCTAGGTGAAGGATGGCAAGTGCAAAGCAAGCAATTCTTCAGCTTCATTACAGTGCCATCAGATGGAACAGGATGATCTCCACATGCCAGACCAAAATTTTGTTGAATTAAGTCCTCAACTGTAAAAGGTGTAATGCCTGCCTCTTAGCTTTTGCAACAGAAAGATTTTTAGCTTCTGCAACATAACATTAAAAAAAAAATGCAAAATCTATATGGTTGCATATAAAAGAGCTTAACTCTTAAATTTACTAATGTCAAATTTAGTGTTTAGAAGATGTGTTTGAAGACTGCAAATAAAACAGTAAAAATATAATCGCTCCAGTTTTTTTTAATCTTTGCAATTCCAAATAAGTAATGTCTGCCACTGAACTGAAATACTATGTTGAAAAATTATAAGACGTTCTATTATTCTGCTATAGTTTGTTAGCAGAGCAACATCATATTGATAATTGTGTTAATCTTGTTAAAATATTTTGCAAGTCTTTACACTAATTTCCTAATATTTTTCCACTTGAAAAAGGATATTAGAGTGCTTTAAGAAATTTCCCCTTGAGAGTGTATTAATTAGGGAATATTTTCAAGTGAAAGTTCACAATAAATAAAGGGGTTGCAAATTCATAATAAATGAAGTTACTATAGCCATTTTTAGGTTTAATTTCAGCCCTATTGTAAGATTAACAGGTTAGTCAGAACAAGCTTAATTTTAAATACTGAATCAGTACATAGTTATAATACAGTTAAAAGATGCTTGCCTACCCCTAATCATACATATTGATACTCAGATAAATCGGAAAACGTTTGATCCTTCTAGTGAAGGGAGTTACGCGTTTGGAGCTGTGTATCACACCAAATGTTGTAATAATGTCAGCATATGAAATGTCGCAGTGCAAGAATTTACTTGATAATTGTCTTGAGTTATACATCATTAAGGGAATCATAGATTTATGAGGTAATTCAGGTTGGACCTCCTTCTCAAGGAGAATGACTTAATTATTTTAATTATCATTCCATGATAATTTAAAGATTGACCCAAATCACGAAGCTAAACTAGACAGACTGTCAAATACATTGTCTTGAGACTGGGGCAACGAGACAGAGGATTCAATTTATATAAAAGGATGCATTTCTGATCTGTGAGAACAGGATTTCTAGGTTCTGTTACAGAGGGCAAAAGGGCAAAACATCCAGATCTCAAACAGCAGAGGTGTCTGTGCATGATGTAATTAAGAGAGCTTATTAGTGGAATTCTGTGAACCATGCACTGAAATAAGTATGTTTGGACATGGCCAATAAACTGTGGCTGGAAGAGGAAGGGTTTTAGAACTGGCTGTCAGAATTTCCTTTTCACTGAAACTAATACTCACCTGTCTGAAATTACTTCAATCAATTTCTCTTCATAGACATTAGATAAAGCTGATTTTAAAATCTGTGTAGAAGAGCACATAATTAAATTTCTTCCGATATGGGAAGAGTCAAGAATACTGCTTGATTTTCAATTAAATCATAAAAGCTCTCAAAGTTTCGATGTAATGTGATAGGGATTTGCCATGACTTTTTTGCACCACTGTCTTGTTTTCAAAGAAACTCTCAAATCTTCGGTGTAGTTTATTCAGTTCATTTTCTGTGTCAGTATGTTATTCTGTAATGTCAAGACCTAGGTCAAAACGCCTGGGAGTTTGACAGTCAGTATTTTTTTCTGCTTTATCTGAATTTGATAGAGAATTTTCCAAGGAAAGAGAAAAAGCCAAGGCCCGAGGGGACTTTCAGAAACTACGTGAAAAACAGCAGCTTGAAGAAGATCTGAAAGGATATTTAGACTGGATTACACAGGCAGAAGATATTGACCCTGAGAATGATGAAGAGGTTGATGAAGAAGGCAAGCGGAACAGTATGTGTTCTTTATTCTGTACTATTTCTGTGTGGGACAGTTGGACTGCTTTTAAGGGCGTTACACTGGGGTGGATGTAGCCTATCTGATGTTGCTTTCTGATTTCCAGTTTACAAAAGTGTTTGTTAGCAGAGCAATCATGTCCATTAATATATTGATACTTAGTCATGGAAGATAGTTCTGAATCTTACAACAAAATTCTGCTCTGAGCTGTCCATGTACCAATCATTGTCTGCACTCAATCACACTGAGACTTAAAAACTTTGCTTTATTTGTGTTCTGTAAAAAGTTAGTGCATATAAGCTATGTGCCACTAAGAATCATTGTAAATCCTTAGTCAAGAAGAATATGTGTTTGCCTATAGGTGCATGCAAAAGAAATAATAATAATAATACCAAAAGCTTAAAAAATATGGCCAAACCTACAGTCAGGAAATAACCTTATGCTAATAGTAAGGATTTTTTTGAGTTTTGAAGTGGGGAAATGGCATTCTGGACCTTTCTTTCCAATATTCAAGAAAGCTATATAAAATCTTTTTTACTAGATATATTAACTGACTGTGAAATAAATTAAATCTTGTGGGATTTTTGTTCGATGCTAAGAAATATAATTATCACTTACAATGTATTTATTTGACAGTAGTGTATAGTGTATTATGGGAAAGTTAATTTATGCTGTAGTGGCCCTCTAGTGCTTCTGACCTGAGTCCTAATGTAAAGGAACAAGTTAGTTTAATGATATTGCAACAACTGTAAAAATTATAATCGATTTCTCTATGTCACAAACTTGGAGTAACAGCAGTATCTTAATGTCATAATTTAGTGGAGGTTATTTTAGCCTCTTAGCCATGTTTACATAGTAGCAGTTAAAATTTTCATGAGAACTTTTAGTGCTGTACATAAATGAGAACATGGATTCAGGATGTGGTTTATGATTTAATACTAAACATAAGCTTAAAGTCCAAATATCAATACACATACTAACACTAAATAGCACCTTATTATTCATGTGATACTTCTTATTCATTCAGATACCATTGAGTATATATAAGAAAACGCATATACAAGTGATTTGTCAAAGGCAACTCAGAATATTATTTTCAGTGTTGAAATAATACATTATTATTGTTCTTTTTCTTCTAGTGCTGCTAATTTATTGTGAACTGGTTTTTTAAACCATAGTACTTTTCAGAAGTAGTGAAATAGTGAAAATTACGTGGTATGATATTGAGGTATCTGTTTTTAAAGTTATCTCTGTATTGCATGTAGTTAAGTTTTAAAAATCTTTGTATTTTTGAGTTTCAGAATTTTATTAGTCCTTTAGTTCACAATAAAAGCAGGGTATGAATCTGTGTTACTGACTGGAAGGAAACAAGATGATTTTATGAGAGGCTGGAAAGCAACTTGTGGGTTGATGTTGATGCCACCATCACCCAGAAAGGAATAATTTATGTCTATATGAAAATCTGAGAACAAACAGAGTTTTTATCTGCAGCAGAGCAAAAAAAGCCAGAGAGTTCACTATACTTGGTTATAGCTACTAATGTTGTGTGGAAGAAATACGTAAACTGTGGTTTTGAGTACCAGTATAAAATCCTAAGACTGAGAAGTAAAATGGAGTACAAGACTGCCGTGCAGAATTGTAGGTGATGCCAAATTTGCACAGAGGGTTGGACAACCGTGCTGTCAGCTATGGTGCTGATGGACTTGGTTTGCAAGTCTGCAGGTGAAATCCCAGGAACTTTTTGCATCCTGTTCAAATTGGATGTTTGTTAATATGCTGCAAAAGAACCATTTGCTCCAGCATTCCTTAAACAGCTTCTAGGTCTTTCATAAATCAAAAATACTTGTCTGCATAGTTGTTGAGTTTCAGAGAGCTTTTGGCTCCAAACTGTTACCTTAGACATAATTTTAGGGTAAGTTAAGAGTTGGAGGAGACTTGCAGAGTAAAAATGGGAGAAGGAAAGTAATTAAAAGAACTTTAAAACAAATCCCAAGAATTTAATTTCAGGCATGCGTATGTATTTTGAGTGGAAATTTCCAGCGAATAGGCAATCTCCTAGCACTCGTCTGGGTTTGTGCACATGTGCTTAAATGTGTGGCTTGGAATTTCGTTTTTAATATCAGCTGCCACAGGGTGTAAAGGAGGAAGGCTTGCTGAATTGCTCCACCTCCTTGCATTGAAGACATGCTCTGCTGCATATCACGTTGCATGGGGAGGTATGATGAGAGACAGCACAAGCTATCTATCCAGTTACTCCATGGGAAGCTTTTGGGTTAGGAGCATAGTTATGATAATGAGCTACCTGTTTGAGAGTCAGGTGAAATTTATCTAGTTATCACCCGGTTAATAATCTTGAGTCGTAAGCTTAGGTAATAAATTTAGTCCAAATATACTGGTGATTTGTTTCTAGAACTGTCTTTGAAGCATGTAAGGCTGGGTCCCAAAATAGGCAGAATAATCATTCGCAGGCTTCTAGGTAGCTGCGTCCCTACTTTGAATACCCAAACCTCTGGATTATCAAGATTACTGCTGATTTATGGTGCTGGAAGTTCACCATAATGCTCTTCAACGATGTGGAAGAGCTCTGGGTTAGGATACAGAAGATCTCTTCTCTCTATGGCAGGAAAAGGTACATATTTCAAAGGCAGTTAAATCAGTGATTAATAGCTTCTTACATAATCCTTTAAAAATATAGTTTAGGTTCCTGCAACCCCAGTGTTTTAAAATTTCTAACCAGAGAAGTCGTTAAGTCAAGTCATTTATATATGAACCCCCTGTATTCATACATCCCTGTGCTGATAGTGGGCAGGTATGCAGTGCTGTTGAATAATGCAATACCTTTTAACTACTAGAATTGTAGACTTCAAAGAATTTGGCTCAAAATGCAAAAATCGGTGAGAGGTGAGGGATTTAGCTCTGATTAGTTACGCTGCCGGTAATTTCAGTTTGTTTTGCCTAACATTGCTTGTGTTGTATATATGGACACATTTTTATTTTTTGCGTTGCAACTGCTGCCATCTGCTGTGTAAATGCTGGGATTACGTGTGCTTAACTCGAAGGGGTTACATTGGCTGACTTAATGGAAGAAAAGAAGAAAAGCAGACTTAGTTGCTTTGGCCGTTCTTCCAATAAACATGGTAAAACATGTTCTGATTCGCAGTTGAACTTTCTTTTGTGCCAATACTGCGTTTGATGTGTTAGCTTTTGAAAGCTCATATTGTGTGCATTTTCTGTAACAAAGGCATATACATCTTTAGCATGTAGACACTCATGCATGGAGTTCTGCTGTTTTAAGTGCATGTCTGAAATAGACTGGTGCTGCAGTGCTCTACCTTCCTAAAGCATAGTCTTTAATCCGTTTAGATTTCCACTGAAGTGTCTTTGTCTATGACTTATGTTCTTATTGAAGCACAGGTTTTCTTTTTCAAAAGTCAGGTAAACCAGATAAAAAATGTATTTTAAATTCAGGTGTGAAGAAATCAATCAAAGTATTTTACAAGCTTTATAATGGATCATAGCGTAAGATTAGAGCAGTATGATGATAATATTGACTATTTATTTATAATACTTTAATTTAGAATCTAATAAAACATAACAAAGTTTTACTGTATCTCCTCTTGTTATCAATAGTTTTGTTTCTGTAATTTGTGTTTTATTCAATTTCTTTCCTACCCACAATGGAGATGGACAGGGGTTTTACAGTATGATAATTATTTTCAAATCTGCACTCTTTTAATACTGGCAAACATATTCATTTGACATAATCACAATTGTAGTAATTAGGAGATGTAGTTTTAATCCTAATTACAACAAAGTCTTCGGAGCAACTGAATTCGTTGCTGTCCTAAGAATCACTATTGTGGCTCAGACTGAGGCTGACAAGTCTGACCCAGTTGCTTTAGAGAATGCAAATATTAAGTCAGAAATTGCTAGGACCTGATGGACTCATTTTCTACAAATACTGAGTTTGCTTGAATTTATTTGTGTAACTGTTACATATATTGTCTAATAGCTCGCACAGCCTTATAGGCTGGAATAATTTTTCTATAAAAATTGCTAAAAAGCGGTGGTTGCAATCCTACTTTGGATATGTGTTTCAACGTAGCCTATAAACTAGCAGGTTCAGGTTCTGATGTCAGTCATGAAATAGCATGGAACCGGCTAAAAACTTGCTGTCATCTACCAGACAAAATGCTGTCTTGGTACTAGTACCTGACGTTGCTAATCAAAAGGATTCTGAAGCGTGTGTGCACTGACTGACAGTTTCATCTGTGTCTTGCAGGGCAGGCATACCTTTTATGAGTAGGATTTTTCCAAAGTACAAATTGGTGGACTAAGTCTATTTCTTTCTGTATTTGTGAGGCTATTATGCTGATCTGAGCAGCTCAAAGTTAGATTACCACTGGATTAGAAATCCCACCCTAAATATTTTTCTTTGTATTACCTGTATCTCTATTTCTATTAAAAGCACCGAATCTGTAGAGTATACAACATTCCCAAGATTCATAGTGTCATCCTTCAGGCTCGAAGTGGTGGGTTCAGTGATGCTTTTGTAATGAAGACTGATTATTCTGCTCTCCTTCCACTGCTATGCAGCCATTCAACCTTATCTTGAGTTTCCGTGGGCTGCCTATAAAAAGAGAGAGCCTATAAGAATGATTGTTGATAGTATCAACATTAAATCTCCACTATGAACAGATACCTTGCTACAATATAACATAGAACATCTTCCAAGCAGTCCTTCCTTAAACTGAATTTACCCTGAAGAGTTTCACAGAGTGGATAGTGCCACTTCCTTCTAATGTGTTTTCTGGGCATGCGGCAGACTTAGGAAAACTTGTCATGAATTTGCAATGATAATGTTGCTTCTTCTGTGATTTTTTTTGTTTTGTTTTGGTTTTTTTGTTCTGTTTTTCTGTTGGACTACCTCAAAGATTTGGTGTAAAGGATTCAGAAAATCCATGTACTGATTTGAGAAAGAATTAGGATAATTTTGGAGCTCATGGGATTGGTTGGATGTTAGTAGCAGACAGATGATGACCATTTTGCAAGGTTGATCTAAAATTTTGTCAGTATAGTACCTTTTTAAATAATTCTAAGGTTCTCTCCAGTAGCTATTACTGATTATCTGACTAGCTCTGCAGATCAATGCACTTCTGCAGCTCTTTTCCTTCAGCATGTGTAGCCAGAAAGCTACCCAAGGTGCATCAGTGTGGAAATGAGATCAGCCTATGGATCAAAACTGCATAGCTGAAGTTGAACCAGATTAAAATATTAATTATATACTTTCTAGAGCAAAATATTTCCAACAATAATACTTGTCACCGCAGTTCAATAATTCAGGGTGTAATTTAGCCTGCTTCTGGATTCTACAGTGACACAAAATTGTCATAGAGCAGGATTATGTAATTTATTTCTTCCGACTCCAGCTGGCTAGGACATACCAATGCTGATGGACATTGACTTGCTCTTAGCTATGCATTAGTTATGTTATGTCCTGGAGTGGAATTTGAAATCCCTGCTTCAAAATCTTAAAACTGTTTAGGGTAAATATAACATGAGAAAAACAATCTATTTTCTTATCCACAGAAATAAAATGTAGTGGTTGATATATTTGACCTATTTTCTGTATACTCAGGAAAGTATTAAGCTGCATGCTATATGGGTTGTTTATATTGCCTAATGCAAGATTCTTTCATTTGAAACCAGTTACCATAATTGAAGAGAGCTGATACTATCTAGAAATCTAGATAATCTTTCCAAAAGAATGCCAGTAAAATAAGGGCAAAAGGTGAATAAACAATAGAGAAAATTTGGTATCTTCCTTTGAATACTGGAGTACCAGTTTAAAGATCTCAAAGCTGGCCTCACTGAGATCAGGCGGTCTTTCAAAAGTTCATTCTGTGTGCTGTACTTTGTCCAGTGAATACTACCCTTGAAGAAGCTGTCATGAATTTGAATCTTTTCAAAACTTGCCAGGTTGCTTGCATTAGCGAGAGTGGATGCGGTCATGCAGTGCTGTTGCTGTTTTCTTCTGGCTAAAGATTTAATGACTTGCTAGCATTGCTGGAGCTGGACTTCCACATGATGCCTTTCTCAGTACTTCTGTCAAGTTTTTCTTTTGGCATATAAATTACAGTATAATGATAGCTGAGTTTCTATGGTTCTTTTTTTCCTCTTCCATTTTTGTAACACAGCACCTGCAAGTCACTAATAGAGCTAGAGCAATAGCCCTATCTAAAATAGAGAGTAACATTCTGGCTGGTTTTAGTTATTAGCAGAACTGACATTGGCTTCAATAGGGACAAAGATTTTTTTTTTTTCTTTGGTACTTTGTTTTTCTTCATGCAGTCATGTTGAAAAGGTATTTCTTACTGTGGGTTAACGCATAAGTCTGGGTAGACTTGAATTAAAATTATATTACTTTACACTTACTATTTAAAAAATTATTTGGCGTGTATTAAAACAAACAGCATTTGTGTGACACTGAGTGACACTTTATGAGGAACTGGATTCTAGGTACTGCTTTTAGAAGAGGGAAGGGTTAATAAATTTGAAACACAAGTGTGAGACACACTTTGCACATGTAATACTTGCAAAAGTGGGCCTAGCTCTGTTTTCATGGCAGCTCTTAGTAACAATGTATGAAACAAGACTTCTTCACTCATATTTTGCAGTTGCCCATCCCAAGTGCTCAAATGTTCATCATTAGGTGGCTATAACGTTGTGTTTCCGAACAGCATGCAAGTCACCCAGCACAAGACAACCATTTCAGTTATTAACCAGACAGGGAAACTCCTTGATTTATTGCAAAAGACCCTGGCATTTTAAAATAAAAACTGTTAGTTCTGAAGATCTGAGACAATGTCTGAAATAGTTTTGTAATTCTTTTTTTTCTTAAAACGTTTAGAATTTTAATACTTTTGGATATCATCAAAGATTGTTTTACTTTTGAATGAAATTCATTTTGAACTCTATGACTGTAAGCTGTGAAGTTCACACAAGACTAGCAATATTCATTTTTTAAAACTGATTTATAAAGCAAAGCATGGTATTAGAATTGAGGCACTTGCAGGTGCTAACCAGGGGTTTTTCATGTATAAAGCAATTACAGTAATATTTTAAAAGAATCATCAAAACAGAAGAACTGTGTGAAAGAAGGTTTTGCTGTGCTTACTGCCTGAAGTGCCTGAAGTTTTGTTCAAACACCTGCATGGACATTTTGGATCTTTCTTTGTTATGCCAACTCTGTGTTTAACATTTCATGTAATGGTGACTTAAATTTATGGGGACAGATTCTCAGCTGTTGCAAATAGTAGCTGAGCATCTAGTCTGCATAGACCTGTCACTCTCTACTTGAATGGAATTGATTGAAACCAAACTACCCTTTACCACTTCCATGTATCTCTATGTCAGTGTTGAAGCAGTATAGAGTACTGTGCAGAGAAACTGTTACTAACAGTTCTCATTTTGTACCTGATCTGTAGACAAATCAGAAAATTCAGGGCCTGATTCTCGAGTCTCACTTATATTAAGGTGTGTGTAATTAAGCCTGCTTTAAACCTCCTTTAAGCTACCAAAATAGTGAGACATCCCTGACAGAAATAGGCACTGTAGCCCTTCTACCTTCAGTACTCTCAGTCCACAGACATTGGCTTAAAACCTCCCCAACAAAACAAACAAACAAAAAAACAAACAAGCAAACCATCAAAACAGCAGAAGGTACTGAGATTACTGTAGAACAGCAAGAACAAAAGAAAAACAGAATACCCTTAAGATAGTCTGTTTTTCTTTTGTTCTTGCTGTTCTACAGTAATTTTGGTGCATCTTCCACCTACTTTATATGGTATTTCTACTGTATAAACCAGCAACATAAATTTTACACTTTTCTTGTTCCTGAAGTTTTCCTTTCATGCTTGCTTTGCAGACATGGAAGTAGTGTTCTCCCCTAGGAATTACTGAGAACTTTGGCTGTTCATATTTCCTAATACCTTTTGACGTATGTTTTCCTCCCTCTGTATTTCAGTTGTTTTGAAGATAAATGGTGATGACCAATTTGCAAATGAGTTTTGTCTAAAAAAACATTAGCTACAATTGCTAACTGTTCAATAATGATCTGCTATATATGTACAGTAATTCACTGTGTAACAAATGCAATAATTCCCTTTTTATTAGTAGTAATTCTCATCATCCTTTGTCGTACCCATTCTGCCATTCCCAGTGCTCCTTCCTGTCTGCTCATGTAGTGTTTGCAGGCACAATTACTTTCTAGCATCTTGCCTTGATAATTCACAATGGAAGTAAAAGCATAGAGTGATCGGTATGATCAGAGTGTGATAGTTCCTATTTTCAGAAGAACTTCAGTGACGTTTCTTGGAATTAGTGAGCATGGTAGCAACACTTAAACCGATAAGCACCTCCAAAGTGTTAACAGAACACTTCTTAAAATGAAAGGTCACAAAATCTAGCTCAGGTTGATTTCATTACTAGGGGTAGCATGCTCTTTGTTACAAAACTCCTCTACATTGTATTCTGTAGTGCATTTTCAACAGTTACGTTGAATCATTGAAAAGAAACAAAAAAAGCTACAATACCCTCTGGAATTCTATGTGCTTTCTTTTGTTATAAGAAGACTGATGAGTATCTAACTTCATCTGCTGTTCCTCAGATCTTCCAAGCTCTCATTAGACCTGCAAAAAGTGGAGGCATTCTTGCAATAGAACAGGAGATCACATTCTGTGTAATGCCTTGCTTGGCTATCAATCTAAAGCAATTTCTGTTTCCTAACAGCAAGCATGCCCACCAGTGAAACTGAATCAGTGAACACAGAGAATGTGAGTGGAGAAGGAGAGAACCCAGCATGCTGTGGGAGTTTATGGTGAGTACACGGACTGTTTTCAAGTACCCACCCTCATCATCTCAAAATTTAAAGGAATCATTAGTTCCCTGTTGTTTATTTTGCCAAAACTGCTTTGAAATAGTCAAGCTTCATATGACACTTGATGGTTTTTTTGCCTTTCAGTAGTTTAATATTAGACTAATTATTACAGCGTTAAAGCACCCCTAAAATTCCGCAGTTAAGAAGATATAAAACAATTCAACTAAACTTCCAGTGCAGTCATGTTTTCCTGAAAGCTTTTATAAAATATAATTATTGTCCAAAATAATAAGAAAGGAACGGAATTCCCTTGTGACATGTACAAAGAAATGTTTTCTGTTAAATTATGCATGATCTGGAGAATATGTATTTTTTAGGCAATAACTTAACGTATGGGAGTATTTCTATATCCCATGGTGTTCGCTAGTTATTTGCTCAGATTTTCATGACTTCCAAGCACCTTCTACATGAGCAGTTTATTTACTTAGTTTTAAAGGAGATTTCCTTTCTTTCACTTAGAAAATTTGTAAAGCTTTAGGAATGGTATTTCAGAAAATAAATAACATACAATAAAATTTCAGCATTCATGATGCATTTTGTTAAAAGCTTGTTTTTATGTATATGTAATATTGATCTGCAAAATTCTAAAGAGAACGAATTTGTGTTAATTATTTTTTCCACATTCTTAAAAATGTGTTTTCCTTTTCTTCTAGTCAAACCATCTCAAAATCTAAGTTCAGGTCAGTATTTTCCTCTCTCTTCATCACCTTTTTTCCTTGTGACTATTTACACATCATGATGATCTCATATAATTATTCTTTATTTACTGTACTTTAAATTTTACTGTGTGAAAATTCTTCATGACAGTTTCTGGTGAATACAAAAGTAAAGTATCCATGAACACTCTTGGAAATCAAACTCTCTGATTTGCTTTGCTGATATTTGTGGCTCTCTTTTCACTTACCAGGAGCATTTGGAAATAGGAGCTTCTATTTTCAGGTATGATTGCAGAAGGGAAGTCTTATAAGCAAAATAAAGAATTAATAGTCCTGATATTGTAGACACTGGATGTGCCAGTACAAAACCAATAGGTTTCTTTATTTTGATTTTATTATCCAGTCTTATAGGACATATATTTAGTAATTAGAAAGGATAATTGCAAACGCAGAAGAGATACCTCTTTCTGTTTAAAAACAGTTAGGTTACTCCATGAAGGAACAAAAAAAAAAAAGGTTTCAGGTAAGTAATCAAGTGGTAGACTTAGGGAATCACGAAGGACAAAACCACTCCTACAGTTGCAGACAACCCACAGAATAAATATTTTTCACAGAAATTTTCAGTGAAAAAAGGGGACAATCAAGAAGATTGGGCAACATCTGGCATCAGCAGTTTTGACAACATCTGGAATCATTCCAATTTTTTAACCCTAGTAAAACTGATTTCAGTGTTGGATGTATAGCAAGTAATTCATTGGTAACAGCAGTGTATTCTCCTTGCAGCAATGAAGAAGAATAGCATACCCAGGTTTATTCTACTAGCCTTACTAGCTCTAATGACCTACCAGCGCTGACCAGTTGCAAGCAGTTGGAGTGGACTTGTGTTCCTTCTGAATAGTCTTCTTTCTTTTTTGAAGAAGAGCTCGCAGGCAACAGTTAACTGGTGCTTTTCTACACTGAGAGGTTTTTCATGTGACGCTGTGATCAACCTTTATTTTGTCATCCCTTTCAGCCAGCAAACTGGTGACAGCGTATAAATGTGCCTCACTCTGCTGAAGACTGTGCCCAATGGAGATCTGGCCATTTAGGACGGTAGTGGACACACAACTAGCTTCTTAGAAGTTTCATCGTTAGTTATAAAAGCTGTATAATTTCTTGTATGCCTTCTGCTACAGAAACTGGCCTTAGCTACACCAACTGAATGGACCAGTTATGTCCGTGTGGACCTTTGAGTTTAACCCTTCATGAGAATTATGAGAGATGAGACTGCTTTTAGCTTAATAAAGAGAAGCGATTCAGTGTGCTAATGGTCTGAAATTTCTCTTGCCATTGCTTCCAGTTACCATAACAGTAGAACAAGTGGAACAATTTATTTAGTATTTCATTAGCTGAGAATCCCAAACAAGCATGATTATTTTGAATCATGAGATTGTCTCCAATCAACCTTATAGCATACTATTTATTGCTATGAAGCCTACTCATGCTGGTTTTAAAGGAGAAACTCGAATATGAAGTGGTCGCATGAAACTTCAAATACCAGGCAGTGCAATAGACTGCAGTTACACTACCTTCTCCAAGTTTGGTCTATTTGCATAGTGGGGACTCACAGAAGCATTACAGAGAAAGCAAAGTAATGCCTATATTCTGAACCATGCCCATTATTCATATTTTAAGGAAAAAGAGAACTCCAGAAGCTCTGTTAAATGAAAGCTGCTACGTCATCTTTGAGAAAGGAAAATTTCTACCCAAACCTGATGTTTTTAATGGTCCAAGCAGTGAGTAAGAAGCAGTCAGTGCTATCCATCTCTAAATCATTGTTCATAATCAATTTGAAAGAAAACTTATTTGTAAGCCAGAAAGTCACCGAAGTATCTCCAGCTGTCTGGATTCTGCCACTGTCCTAAATGTCTTTTGCTTGAGCTCTTTGATTAGAATCTGTTCTTGTGGCATTAAAAAACACAAGTCACACAGAAGTTCATTCATACATGTATTGCTGCATCTGTTCACAGAAGTTGTGGCAATTGGCAAAGGGATGTTGGTGTCTTTTATTTGGAAGTGCTGCAGGGGTCTGCAGCTGCTTTAGGTCTTCAACCATACTTAAACTTTTTAAGCTGAATTTGGTAATGGGAATTCCCCCTTCAACTGTCACGTCTTTACTTGTATTGGAGAAAGATCTATCCTTTTTAACTTAATGAATCCATGTGAGGAGTAGTTTTGAGGCAATAGAGCTCAAAATTATAGTTTGTCTTCAAAACAGATGTGGCTTGCACCATGTCCCAGATCCCAGATGACAACATCTGTTATCAGAGAGAAAAAGCACTTTGAAGAGCTGCTGGCTTTGCAATGCCACTAAGAACAGAGTATGTCTGCTCTTCTACCTCTACAAGGATCTGCAGACTCATGGTTCTCATCCCATTGCTTCTGGATACCTAACATCTCATATTTGCAAAATCCATTTTTCTGATATGTTGGAAGAATGTAATTTTGGTGGTTTTCACTGGAATCACTAGTTTCTAAAAAGCTCTGTTTACCTAAAATACAGAAACTCTCAGTTCTGCAGCAAAGCCCTAGATTATGTGTTCAGCTGTCAGGGATGTCCTAGTACATACTAAACCAAATGCTAAATCTTGGTCTAATTCTCACTCTTCTGGCCTGATCCTCACTCCAGCTTCAGGAATGTTATTCTGCAATGGCAGTACCCTGTGTTTCAGGGCAAAGTAAATCAGGACATAGCTTATCATAGCTTATCAGGACATAGCTTATATTGGTTTGACCGTGAATGTCTTTGCCTTCGGATCAAAATAGAAAATTTTTTTTTTTGCAAGCAAGCCTACCTGCTGTACCAAAAGCAAAAATAGAAGTTAATCCTTGGAAATATGTTTCTATACAGTCAGATGGGTACTTGGTCAAGAGAGAACAATTATCTGCCAGTTTATTAAGTGAGGGTGTATATCAGCCACACATTATGCTAGGATATACATGGGTAAATATGATCTGTGCTGCATATTTGTAATCTTCCAGGTGGAATTTGAAATGTTTTGATACTAGAACAATGATTAAAGGAAGATGGGGATCTCCTAGTTGAAGAGATTTGTGCACATTGCCGTCTGTGAAGATCCCTCTTTTTAAGAATTCGCTTCCTCATTTGTCAGTATGATTATATGATCATATTAACCTTCAAATCATGCTAAAAAGCTGGTAGTATGCCCTGAATCTTGTAACTACAAAAATGAGGAATAGAAAAATAGTCTTGAAGGTTTCTATTTTTTCATAAGTGAGCACTCTGGTGCAATTCTTCTTTCCCATGTTTTATAAATAAGAGTAGTGAAGTCTAGTCTCTGCACAGATGTTAGCACCCACAATTACAGAAGAATTCATCTTGGGCATTAATATTTACTACTCTGTGATCTTACTAGCGAAAATATGAGACACGCCAGTTTCGCAGGTACAGGGATTATGAATGTGGTTCTAAACAGAAAGTCCAGCTTAGAAAAATAGTTGAAAGGCTGCTGATACAAAATAATCTGAAAATGAATGTTCGACCTTTGCATAGGTCTAGTAGCAATACACAAACACACACGAATAACAAGTAAACAAACTAAACTTCATAGATTCTGCATGACTGATTGACAGAGTTCAGTCAGACTCAATGCAAGGCTGGATTTCCCATGTCTGGATTCAAACTTAAGACCAGGGCCTAAAGGACCACCTAAACATGAATACCTGAATGAATGAAAGTGAAATTGGGAACACATTTGTAATAATAATGATTTGCTCATAAATAGTTATGAAGAAAAAATCATGAAGTATTTAATGAGAACAAAAGCAGTGAATAATTTGGTTCGTTGTAACAAACTATGTCAACTATAAGCATCCTCAGTGATTTTAATATTTATTAAACTGCTATATTTTGTGAAAAATGCTTGATAATTTCATGAAAGCAGTATTATATAATTGCAAATTTACGAAAATGGAATTTCTCTTCAAAATAAAAGGGTACATTTCATTCTTCCAGAAAAAAATTATGCTATTTGGTTAAAACTAGGAGGGGCGCTTACTAAAAAAATAGAAAACTGTTGAGTGAAAATAGTGTAATTTGTTTTCCTATTTTATATAGCCACAGGTTTTCCTGGCACAACAGGCCATCTACTTCAGTCCGCTATTTACTGTTTATTTCTTTACTTGTACCAATCTAACGAAGGTAGAAAATTACTCCTATACTCCTTTCTGAATTTTTGCTTTATTTCTGAAAGCTTTTTACATATGCTTGTATTGTTCACACACTTCTACATGTGAGTGCCATTGCACACCCTTTGGCAGCATTTTCATATGTGTACCACTTAGCTATACTGTTTTGTCACTGATTCCACAGACCTTTTGGGGAAAAAAAAAGCCCCCTTGGCTTCAGAGAGCTATGAGTTATACACTTTGAGACTGCTTTTGGCTCCTATGAGTAGAGATATCCAAACAATATTATTCTTGTCTCATTGACTTCAATGATAGGATGTTGTGTAAGCATAAAAAAAGGCTGTTTTACCTACCCAGGGAGTGAGCCATCCTGATGATGGCCATGGACATAGTGCTGTTTAGCAGGGGACTGGCAAGATAAGAATGTTCTTGAATACCATGTTGCTTTAGGTCAGGATATTTTTCCTTTATATAGTTAGAATACTGCAAAGACTTGAAACAGCTTTGTACTGATGTCTGAAACCAGTATTAATTTCCATTACTACAAGTACAAATTTAAGGTGCGTAAGGAAAACTCAGTTAATGCTTGAATGCAATGCCAAACTCAGTTATTTTTATGGTGGTGTTATTGCATATTGGTTCTATTTTCTGAGGCAGATTTAAAGCATTTCTGATTTTATACATACTAAGTACAATACCTGCTAATTCAGACACTAAAAGTATTAAGAAATTCACCTAGTTATTGTAACAATTTTCAAAAGCCATAGTTCCATGTTTTGGTACTGCCAAAAGGGCTGCAGTGCCTTTCCCCTGTCTCAGCCACTCATTCTTCCTGCTCTTTCTGTGATGTGGCAATACAATGAATTGGATCAGACAACTGACTGGCTAAAATCAACCCAGAAAAAAAGAAATTGGTTTCTACCAGTCAGTTCTCAGGTCTGGCTCACTTCACTAGGGCTAGTTTTGGCAAAAGGGAAAGGAGAGGGCAGAACAAGGAGAGCAGACCACCCCTTCCCATCACAACGGATTTACGCTAGACTGGCCTGATAGTGAAACTATAGAGAAGAATCTTATACATGCACACTCTTCTCAGTTCTTTGCTGTTTTAAGGCTAGGTCAAGCTTCCATTGGAGTCTGTGCTGCTCTGTCCCTTGAATTTTGGATGAAGCAGTTGTCAGTTCCTAAAATTTATTATCTGAGCCCACAGCTGTAATTCTGGGTGTGTGAATTTTATATGCCTCCTTTTTAGGTAATATCAAGTGCTTCTTAATCCTTCTTTTCCTATGACCCAGCAATATATTTTCTTCCTGTTTCACAAATGGAAATGCAACTCAAGAGGATTAATTGGTTTACTAAAGTTCCCAGAAGTGAAGCGGAGAAATTAAATCTCGTTTTATGAGTCCAAAGCTGAGCTAATACCCTCACTTGTGAGTCCAGCTTATATCTAAGTAGGGCCTGTTTACTTGTCCTTGATTGTCACTCTTATTCATTTCACAAACATTTGCCCACTGACACAATTTCAAGGCACATCAGTGGAAATCTCTAGGAGTCGCTGACTGAGATTTCTAACATTATAAGGTAGATTTCTAAAAGTTGACCTCAACATTCCTGCCTTGTTTAATCCTGCCAAAATTGTGCCCGTGGTTTAACTCAAAGCCTACATTTTCAGACTAAATGTAATCTGAATTCTAAGTTGCTTTATTGGCTTTTCTTTACTGCTATGAAGTGTATGGGTCCTGGAAAGACAGATATATCTTGTTACTCAATGAAATGTTAAATACAGCTTAATCTGATTATGTTACAGGCAATTAGAGTCTCCAAAAATTGTGGTCTACATTTAAAAATCTATAATGAAATCTAAAAAAGGAATAACAAATTAGCACTCCCTAATCTGCAACTGGTAACAATTTACACAACTATCTGAAGCGTTGTGCACATATTTATGTAAATACACCTGCTCACACATACATACTTGCACTATGTTTTCTACACAGAAGAAACCCTTCTTAAGTTCATATGTGTTTTCTGTATAATAATAAATTTGTTTTTATTTGAACTTTCAGTCGACGCTGGCGTCGTTGGAATCGATTTAATCGAAGAAAATGTAGAGCTGCAGTAAAATCTGTCACATTTTATTGGCTTGTTATTGTCTTGGTCTTTCTGAACACATTAACTATCTCATCAGAGCATTATAATCAACCTGACTGGCTGACCCAGATCCAAGGTACAATCAAAAATTATTTATCCTGTTTTTGACTATGGATACTTGCATTCTATCAAGTGCCTACTTTTGTACTTTGCCGTTTTGTTGTTGTTTGTTGTCACGTAGGACGTTCAGCCCAGCCAAAGGGAGATACAACAAATGACTGAATATGTTTGATTTCCACAACTGTAACACAGCTTAATGGCATACCAGCAAAAACCTGACAATACTAAATTGTAAATACCTGTACTTTTATTGTTAAACCATGCTTGAAAGATGAGGAAGAAAATGGTAACTGGCACAGCAGAACATGCTGTGGGCTGTGTTGCTTCAGTTACAGTGTGGACTCAAGCTGTGAGTTGAGCAGCCATGAACTGCGCACTGGATTGGAAAGATGAATAGTTCATAAGTCACAGGAAGCTTTACATCCTTGTGTAACTTTTGCCCCTTAGGCATCAAATACAGTCCAACATAAAAAAACAGTACTTTCTTCCTTCTTAAGTAAAAGGCTGTGAACTAGTATAGAAAGTATAGTACTAATACGTTAAAATAAAAATGGAATCTATAAGACAATTCAGGAATGTCCTTTTTTTTTTTTTTTTAATATTTTTTTCCAGATATCGCAAATAAAGTTCTTCTGGCATTATTCACCTGTGAAATGTTAGTAAAGATGTACAGCTTGGGTCTACAGGCTTATTTTGTTTCCCTTTTTAACCGCTTTGATTGCTTCGTTGTTTGTGGTGGCATTGTTGAAACCATTTTGGTGGAGTTGGAAATTATGTCACCCCTTGGAATTTCAGTGTTTCGCTGTGTTCGTCTCCTGCGTATTTTTAAAGTAACAAGGTAAGATTAACTAATGCTGCTAACTTTAGGGATAGCTAAAGGGTGATCAGCAATTCTTTTGTAATACTTCATCATGCGCTGCTCTTTTACTGTTTTGTTTGGGTTTTTTTGGTGTGTGTTAACACACGCATTTTAATTTATAGGCACTGGGCATCCCTGAGCAACTTGGTAGCATCCTTGTTAAACTCAATGAAGTCCATTGCTTCACTGTTGCTTCTGCTTTTCCTCTTCATCATAATCTTCTCGTTGCTTGGAATGCAGCTGTTTGGAGGCAAATTTAATTTTGATGAAACTCAAACAAAACGGAGCACCTTCGATAATTTTCCACAAGCTCTTTTAACTGTATTCCAGGTAACTTTCTTTCATCCCGTATGAAACATTTACCTTTGATCAACAAAACTGTTTAAGTGATCATGTTGCCTGAAAATAAAATCACAAATACTATTTATTCAGTTTACTTTAAGTAGCATTCTGCTCATTAAATTCAGTACTCTGGTAACTGCACGATTTGTACCATTTGTTTCATGTCTTATTTATCTATCTATGCAACATAGCTGTCATATTACTTCACAAAATTAAATCTCCTTTGTCCATCAAATACATGACTAGTAAAAGAGGTGGAATGTTATTTTTATTTTAATCAAATTGTTTTCTTTAACTTCATTAGCTATGTAAAAGTTCAGCTATTCCCAAGCAGGAAGAGATGATAAGCATTGTAAGAGTGCATATTTGCATATGGGTCATATCACTTACCATAATATAAAAATAAATATGAAATTCTTTAAAGAGACACTGTCAGGTTTATTAAAATTTTAAAGCAACTTGTCTGTTACCTGTGAAAAGATAGGGCCATACTTACAGGTTACTTTTCACTATTTTATGATCCTTTTTTTTATTTTTCCCAATTTGGATACTGGAATTAGGCTAATTGGTTTCATCTTTCTAGCCATTTTCACATTCAGCTTTGCACATCACCTCAGTGTTTGGTTTCAGACATTGTAGGTGAGTGTATAAAGCTGACCGTGCAAGACTCAACTTTGTGTCAACTTCCTATCTCTTTGGTAGAAGTTTCATCTGGTGGCTGCCCAGAGCAAGCAAAAAATCTTTCCATATAATTTTAACGTAAGGAAATCTTAATGAGAAGTTTCCTTCAGAGGAAAAGTATTCACATTTGACCTGACATTGCCCCTTTAAAAAAATTAAGGCTGTACTTTCAAACTCAGCTGAGTTGGATTTTATTCAGATTTTAGGCTGCCTCATTTTCAAAGGAATGAGGCTTCCTTCAGTTTCAGAATACACTCAGGAGCAACCAACCTGTTGGGTGCTCAACAACTACAAAAATCAGCTTGATAAGTTTAGCTCTCCAAAAATGAATTTCAGAAATTGTCATGCATATAGTTTTCTTGAACAACCACTTAATTAATTGGAGGGAAAGTCAGTATTGCATGTTTTCTCAGGATAGAACTGATAATTTTTAAGTTGTTACTTAGAAATATATGAAGTGCCCCTATAACCTGCATTGTAATACTCAGAATTTTTGTCCTAGCACAGAAAAAGTGGAGTTGCCTCATTGTAAACTATCCTTTTAACTAATCAACAGATTTCTGTAAAATTCTTTTAGAATTCTGTGAAATTATGTGAAACAATAGCCAATAAGAAAATCATGTAATTCTCCCATGCCATTGAGCTCCATTCAGTTTAAAATAGCTACCATTTCAAAAGCTATAGCAGTAGCGTATGTGTGTGGTAGGTGTATTACGTAATTTATGATAAGGTGGCCCATCCCTGTTAAAACTGAAATTGGGTAGACCAGTTGGAAGACTAACAAATGGCGTACACTAGAAAAGATTTGTGGCCACTATTTCAAAAAAAGAGACCCTTAAAACGTATGCTAGCTTGATTTTCAAGAGTGATGAACATGTGCAGGCATTACTACATATGTGGCATTACTGAAAATCAGGGCTCTTAACTTTTGCATGCCAAAATCAATAAAATTATAGGCTTCTGTTTTTATTATTTTTGCCTTTGAAGTTCAGTGATGTAAATGCGTAGCATAAAATAAAAGTTAGTAGAGTTAAACCCAAGCTTTCAGGAGATGCTTATTTAAATGGAAATTTTAAAACAATGCATGAAAAGATTATGGTGTTGCTTTATGTATACGGAGGTTAGCCTTGTGTATTGTGGTCAGAGGAAATGTGTTTCTCTATTGCTCTTTTTGATGTTGAGTTACTAATAATATATCTGCTTCTTAGATTCTAACAGGTGAAGACTGGAATGCTGTTATGTATGATGGCATAATGGCATATGGTGGCCCATCATCGTCAGGCATGATAGTCTGTATATATTTCATTATCCTCTTCATCTGTGGTAACTGTATCCTTTTGCGCTCACTGGAAACACCTCCAAATGGGGCTGTGTGCCAGGCACACATGCAAAATTTCTCTAGGAGGGAGTAAATTGTAATGGACATGCAAATGCTTTCTGCATGTGTTAAGTCCTTTAAATAGACTTTTTTTTGTATACCCATTCCCTAATGAATGAGACTCCAGTGACCTCCAAGTCTATCTCCTGCCACCACAGTGGCAGAAACCAGAGTATTTTTTCTTTCTTCCTTCAGTGAGAAAACAGCCGTATTCTACCTGCTTGTCTCTATTTGACAACTCTCCCTCTGAAAATGCATGGATGTAGTCTGATCTCTATGGCAGTAATTTCCCGTTCATCCTTTTGATGCTTGATATAGCCCTGTTAATTCTGACACACACTGACAGTGGAGCCAGTGAACCACCGTAGAGTGCAGGGGCCAGACGAGAGAAATCTGCATGGAGAAATGTTGAGTCAGTTAGGATTAAGTCTGCTGAAGCATTCCCCTTCCCTGCCTTCAGTGTACTGGAAATACTTCCTTGGCCCCATGTAGAAACAGAAATAGTGTCATTCTCAGAAGTTCTTAAAAGATCAGGAGGTGATAAAAGGGCAAAAACATTCTATCTTCTGTACTATAAGGCACTTGTATCAGTATTTGTGCTTAACTGATATGGACTGAAGTACAGAATTTGATATAGATTGTTGTAGACACAGAAGATAGTGCATTATAAAAATGAATTTTTCAAAATGCCTGAACAGTCTTCACTTTTAATAGACCATGTTTCATATTTGAAACTTGCTCAGGCTAGCATAAAGTTGAATGTCATTTATTTAAAAAAATACATCAACTGTTCTGCTATTTTAAAATCAGTGACCCTAATGGATCTCCGCTCATTTTACACCCAATATTAATCTAGTCCATTAAATGAGTGTTATTTGCACTACACTCCAGCATCCCAAACCTCTACGCTGTAGTTGGGAACATGTGTTTTATATCTCTCACATTGTCAGTGTTTATGCTGATAATAAACCAAACAAGTATAGTAACGCATAATGTCCTTAAAATGATTTGAAATAGATATCTTGCTAAATGTCTTCTTGGCCATTGCTGTGGATAACTTGGCAGATGCTGAAAGTCTAAATACAGCTCAGAAAGAAGAAGCTGAAGAAAAGGAAAGGAAAAAGAATGCGAGGTAAAATAGCATGGGCACATTGAACAAGCAGGAGAGGGAAGGAGCAGGGTACTGAATTTTCATGAGGATTTTCTTTGCTTTATATAAATGTCTTTACCATCTTCAAAATTTGTTGGAGTCAGGAAAAAAATGAAAGAGTTTACCTACACATTAAAATAAGACCCAATTGATATGATTTTAGATAAAAGTTGGGTAGTAATTGGGAAAATGGGGTGAATTAAGGACATAATGATAAGTCAGCTGATATTTAAACATCGCAACGGTAGGATTTATTGCGCAACTAGAACAAGAATGTATCTGTTGTTGCCAGTGCACAACTCCCTGTGGAATCAGTTCTCTAAGCCTTATATAGACAAGAAGAAAACCTTCCTTTGAAATCAGTGCAGGCCTATTGAAGTCAATGCAAGTTGTTTGTATGAGTCCAAGGGCACAGTTTATCCCTCTAGAAAGGAGTAATGATCATGCATTGAATTTTTTGGGGATTAGCTTCTGGAATTATATTCAAAATGATAAACTTTTAAATGGATTATTGCATTCAAATGCAATAGATTTTATTGCTCTGACACCTGCAGCTGTGCAAATCATTTTAAATATTTTACTATGGTTTTTAGGTATGCTCTCTTAACTTTTCAAAGAAAGGGTATAGTTCACTTAAAATCTTCTGTCTTTACATGATGTGCTTTGTAATTGTTATTGTATTGTTTTGTAGAAAAGAGAGTCTGGAAAATAAAAAAAGTGAGAAGTCAGAAGGTGACCAAAAGAAGCCCAAGGATAGTAAGGTGTTTATTCTAAAAATTGTGTCTTTTCTAAGAAGCAGTTTTACTAATTTTGCTAGGGAGTACCTTTCAAGACTACTCTGCATTGTACAATTTCTTTTATGAATCCATCATCCCTACGTTTTTTCCAGGCAAAGGAAACTTAGTTCTGATGCTTTGCGACCTTGCAGAATCTCTTAATCCAGAAAATCCTTTTGGTTTCAGGATATCCTGAGAAGGGAAGCTCTTAGAGCATGAAATAGTTAATGTTAGAAAAATTTGACGTTATTTTAGGATCCCTATAGGTATTTTGCCTGATAAATCCAGTGGAAGAGATTAGTGAATGATAAACTCCTAGTAGAATGTCCAAACATCCTTGCTAATTTTTACCAAAGTCTGTTGGTTATATTCTCATTGTGATCTACACAGCCAGAAGAATGTGGATACTATAGAAAAATAATCTTTTAAAAATATGTATTAAACTGTCAGCTCTCCTCTGTTCTCAGAGTTACCCTGTTTCAGAAAACTCAGACTAAGCATAGAGATCACTTCCCTTACTTTATTCCCTTATTTGGTTTGCTTTCTGTTGAACTTTATACTTCAAACTATATTTAAATTTATTTTTCTTCTTGTGCATCCCTTTCATTGCTGTAGGTGACAATTGCTGAATATGGAGAAGGAGAGGATGAGGATAAAGATCCCTATCCACCCTGTGATGTACCAGGTATGTGAGTATCAGCCAGAAGACAAACACATTTAAGTTTGTTTGCTAAAATATCCTAAACTTGCTCTTGCTGAACACTGAATCAATTCCTTTGAAGTCAGTGAAGTTGTGCTCTGTTATCAGTGGATAAATGGGCCTGTAAGCTGCTAAGTATTATCTTTTTCTGCAGCTTCCTAGACAGTACAAACAGCATATGAGAGTTAATACTGTGAGCCTGAAGACTCCTGTGGTAATACTATCTGGATGTGAGAGCAAATTCTAAACTTTTCTGAAACGTTTGGCAAAAAAGGACATTCCAGGGCTGATGATGTTCAATCACTTTTGTCTTAGCTTCTTCCAGTCCAGTGAACATACTTATCTAAAAACCAGTTCTGTCTGGATGCCTATTACAGAAATCTGCCCTGCCTTTTGAGCACTCGGTGCCCAGCCAGAGCACAGAGCTCAGCACCCCTGCAACACAGCTCAGGCGTGGACTGACGCTCAGGGGCTGAGCTTAAGTGGGGCTCCAGAGCCCATATGCAGGGAGTGTGAGTGAAGACCCCAGATGAGGCTGGTCAGGGCCAGTAAAGCCTGTTAGTGCACTCAGGGCACTTATGCACACACCCATATATGTACATAAACATGTATATAACCTCATGACAACTATATGGATGTTCATATATTGATTCATAGATTTTTTTAAAGCCATGCCATGAATATATATTTCCTATAAGCCATATATATTTTAATACAAGCCATGCTTTTATATTGTTATGAACAAAACCTCAATGTTTTTTATTTTATAGTAAAAAAGTGTTTAATTTAAAGTAGGTGAAGGTGAAGAAGATGAGGAGGATGAACCAGAGGTACCAGCAGGCCCACGTCCCCGTAGAATATCGGAACTAAATATGAAGGAGAAGATTACACCAATCCCTGAAGGGAGTGCCTTCTTCATCTTCAGCAGCACCAATCCGTAAATATAATTTTGAAAAATACTGGTTTAGTCCATCAAGGTTTAGCAGTGAAGGAACAGGCCTCCTTCCAGTGAGGTTAGGAATAGAACTCCAATATCTTCAACAGGAGAGAGATCGGCTTCTCTCCTAAAATTTTCTGAATGACTTGGTAAATGGAAAGAATTTGATAAATATATTAATTTGCTTCCCACTGTTGAAGATAATAGCTGTACTACATGTCTGAACAGCACGCTTTAATGTATATTAGCTATTTAATATGTTAGTCACTGGATATAAAAGATGTGACGTAAGATCTGAGCATCTTCTACATGAGATAGGATTCCTAGTAACCCTAGGAACCTTTGCGGAGCAATACAGGTGAGGAAGGAGAAGAGAAAATAAGAGAGCGAAAAAGAGAAAAGAAGAAGAAAGGATGTATATATTCCTCCTGGGGTAACAGCATTTTCCCAGATTCCAGCAAACACTGAAGATAAAGACAAATTATTTCAAAAATCAAGAGTAATAGTAGTTGGATTTTGGGGGGGAATTGGAATCTTTCATTGCTCAGTCTAGCCCCAGAGCATTTGAAGTTCTACACTGATGAAGAAAGCAAGCTTCAGTAGTCAGTAAATGTCGTTACTGATTGTTGGATGGAAGTGAACAAGTGAACTAAATTCAGTTTCTACAGACTGAACATAGCTGTTACATTTATATATAGTAATTTCATGAGTGGTCTTAGAAGGGAGCTTAAGAGTTATTTGGCACAGGAGAATGCTGTCTTCTCAGTGGTAGAGCTCATCACAATTAAGTTTAGAAGATGGTGTCAAGATACAATGTTTTGGGCTCGTATCTTATTCATTGCATGGGTTGTCTAAAAACTCTTCAGAATTTTCAAACAAGCTGGAAGGACAGCTATTTAAACTACTAATTTTAAGAACACATATGCTGAATGCAAAAACATTAGATTTGTTGAACATGTCAAATTGCTTTTGGCCTCAACTAATGCTACATATTTTCAGGCCAAAATGGTCATCTTGCTTGACTAAGTGTTGTGGTTTAACCTGGCAGGCAGCTAAACACCACACAGCCGTTCGCTCACTCACACCTGGTGGGATGGGGGAGAGAATTGTAAGAGTGAAAGTGAGAAAACTCATGGATTGAGATAAAGACAGTTTAATAGGTAAAACAAAAGCTGTGCACGCAAGCAAAACAAACCAAGGAGTTCATTCACTCCTTCCCATTGGCAGGCAGGTGTTCAGCCATCTCCAGGAAAGCAGGGCTCCATCACGCGTAACAGTTACTTGGGAAGACAAACACCATCACTCCGAAACGTCCCCCCCTTCCTCCTTCTTCCCCCAGCTTTATATGCTGAGCATGACGTCATATGGTATGGAATATCCCTTTGGTCAGTTGGGGTCAGCTGTCCCGGCTGTGCCCCCTCCCAGCTTCTTGTGCACCCCCAGCCTGCTCGCTGGTGGGGTGGGGTGAGGAGCAGAAAAGGCCTTGGCTGTGTGTAAGCACTGCTCAGCAGTGATGAAACATCCCTGTGTTATCAACACTGTTTCCAGCACAAATCCAGAACACAGCCCCGTACTAGCTACTGTGAAGAAAATTAACTCTATCCCAGCCAAAACCAGGACGCTAAGATACGCTGTACTCAAATCATCTACTTAATAGCAGGAGAACCAATTTTCCTCAAGAATGTTGTGATTCATCAGTAGATTTTAGACAACTTCAGTGTTGGTCAGTTACGAACCTGATCCTGCGTTTTTGACAATTTAATCCCGGACCTACTCTACCAAGGTGTACAGTAGCATCTGTAATAACCTGGGGCTCAGTGACTCTAAGCATATGTACAGTTTCACTTCATGTTATGTGGCTGAAACTTAGCAGCTCTGTAATCTTCAACACCCACTTGTCCTATAATTCTGCAAGAAAATCTTCACAGGAGTTTCTGATTTGGGTTGAGTCTCTAAGTAGCACGAGATCTGCAGCCTAAGCCACATCTCACTTTATGAGTATTTTTCACAGCTTTAATAAGAATCAAATCAAACTGGGGATCTGAAATGACTTATTATCTGGTGTTGGTCCTTTTGACATTGGCCTCTGTATGTACACAGTGGTACAACACTGGAACTTGTAGTGGCATTCATAACCCATTGAAAACCAACGGGAGCTGGGAAATCCTCTCTGATTCCTTTGATTAGTGCGTCTTCACTACAGGTGGATTGGATTTTGAATTTATTTACACTTTTACAAATCAGAGCTATAACTTCAGCATTTGCACTGCTTTTAGCTGCTGATGGTTGCTGTGTTCTGTCATTGTTGTCAGTCATTAAACATGTTGTAATTAGCCATCTGCTGAATTCTATTTGTGCACATGGTGTATTTTTGTATCTCTTCTTCAGAATTCGAGTGGGATGCCACAGACTCATCAATCACCACATCTTTACCAATCTCATCCTTGTCTTCATCATGCTGAGCAGTGTTTCCCTAGCAGCAGAAGATCCAATTCGCAGCCACTCTTTTCGAAATAACGTAAGCCCTTAATTTTTATGTATGAAGATAAATATATCCTCACAGGGTAACAATCCTTTGGGACTAGTGCCTGGTTTTTAATTTTCAGGTTAAGTACCTTTCTTTTTCCTTTTTCAAGTCATGCTTTTTTTTTTTTTTGGCATTAAAAAGCATGAATCTTTAAAGACAAGTAACTTTATTGAAGGAACATCATAGGTATTAGAACCATTTATTATGTACATAATGTTTTCCCTTTGTTCGCTATTGATATATCAGACTAAAATGTACTCAAGCTGAGCATAATCTTTATAATTTTCATATTTTTTCATAATTTTCAGCTGATGTACCTGATGTGCATTTTCTGAATCACTCTTAGTGCCTCTCAGTGTTTGACACTGATTTAAAAATGCCAGTTAAAATTATCATTGTTTATAACATGTTGGGAATAAACTCTGACCTGTCCTCTCTTCTCCTTCATTGGCTCTATTATATGGTCTTGGGGAACTCAGATTATCACTCTGTTAGTGAGTGTATGCATTCGTAAGGATATTACCTCTTCTTTCAAAGAAGCTGATGTGGCCACACTAATGAGTTTGTGTGGCCACACCACATCGGACCTGAAGATCCTTGGATTCCTGATTGGCCAAATCAGCAACTAAACAGGTTTTACTTTTTCCTAAACTCACATGTAAGATGAGGATCAGAGCATGCCCAGCTCTTGCCTTGATTCAGAGTCAAATGCCATTTCAGCCTATATACAAACCTGAAAATTTGGAAGTGTTTCCTTTTTGGAAGTGTTTTCCTTTCCTGCATCCTTTTTTATATATAGTTGTAGAAACAAAATATTTGTAAGAGTATTAATTTCAGAAATGTCTCTATTATTCAATAAAAGTGTAGTTTATGTGGTAAGTAAACATCTGTGTTCTTCTAAAACAAATTCCTGAATTTTAAGTTCTTAATATAGTAGAAGACTTGCCTGTTACTCAAATGCACAATTATTAGACAAAAATAAATCCACTCTCGTGACCACTAATGTTTGTCTTACACTTGTTGCGCTTGTATTAGCGGTGAAGCAAGCCTCTCATGTTATTGTGAGTTGTGCGTGCTTAGATTAGGTATGAAATAGGGTTTCTGTGGGGACTTTTGGGATACTTTGACAGAACTTCCAGGCCTCTCCTGTCTTAGATATAAATTGATCTGTAGAGATTGCCACGGAGTTAGAGAAACTCTTCCACCTCTTACAGCAAGGTCAGTAAATGTTGTAACCCTCTAGTTCTTGCTAGTGTAGATGCAGCCTTTGAAAGTCTTCTTTTGGCTGTTGACATTCTCTGAACATTTTTTCAGTAACATTATTAAAAACCAAAAAGTTAAAACTTTCTTCAAAGGTAAAAAGAGGTCAAAGCACAAAGACACTCTTCATGTACTATTCAGTAGAACTGTGCACTTCCCATATCTATAAAACTGGACAAGTGCAATCTTATGAATAAATCACACTAATGGATAATAAGAAGAGAGCTGGTGGGCAATACTGAAATTGTTATTGTAGAGATGGCTCGAAGGGCTGGTAATTGTTTTTGTAACTAGAGGAGTACTAGGAAAATGTAACTGCAGAGTGGTGGTAACTGAAAGGATTATTCCTATTTGGGACACAGGTAAAATGTGTGAGTGATTTCAAGATGGCATTGCCCTCTTGTTGTAAGTATTCACAAATGCACCAGACCTGCATATTTTTCTTGTTACTACCTTGAATGATCATGTTCCTTCAACAAGCCAGCTCGGCAAGGGAATGAAAGCTTACAAACTGGAATGCCTTTAAATATTTTCTTTTAACTCTAGAATGAATTCCTTACTGATTAATCTTTGTTGAATGCCTTTAATATTTGACTATTTTTTCAGCCACAGCAAGGGACAGAAGGATATGATCTTCAACTGAATATGAGCAAAAAAATTACTTCCTTTTATATGATCTAATAGGAATACTGTCTTTGTGTGTTGTCTCTTTATTTTATTTCTCCTTCCCATGTTATTAGTTGCTGAGCCACAGGCAACATGTTTCTGTGCACAACTGTTTGCTAGTTGCATTGCTGAATCCTTGAAACTAAACTAGTACCCTACTGCAGTGCACGCCGATCACTAAATTAAGTGCTAGTGATATGGCCACCTTGAAAGGGTGAAATTTTGGTTGTAGTGAAATATATGGCAGTGTTCCTATCGACAGCAGTGAAGTCAATATCGCATCCACAATCTTTTTGAAATTTTGTGTATCACTGTGCAACTGTTGTGAGTTCTTTTAAATTTCCTACAAATAAATCACTGCTGTATCTTCCAAGTTCAAGAAAAAAGAGTTGTAGTGCTGATTTTAAGTAATTTAGTTACTGGTTAATTTGCTTTGTGAGACTCTAGCCCAGCCTATACAGGAATAATATAATGTAGCAGAATGTAGAATGATGTGCAATCTAGAAGCATCCTTTGAAGTTTTATTTTTTGATACAATACTTCAGTAAAAAAAAAAAGTTATTTGAAGTTTTATTTTTTGATACAATACTTCAATAAAAAAAAAAGTTATCAATAATAAGTATTTATTCTTTGCATAAGATTCTGTATCTCTGCTAAAGGCTGAAGAAAGTACCTGTGAAAGCTGATAGAGGAAAGTCTGAATTGAAAGAAAGTGTTGCTTATTGGGTCCTGGTAACTCTTTAAGGATGAAATCTGATATCTAAGCACAGTAGCATCTGTTAAATTTTTAAGTAAATAAAAATGGTTGCTCAGTAGCTGAAATTTTAAACTACTTTGTCTAAATTCCCCATCTACCTACTTAGATTAATTCAGGTGGTGTTGTGCATGTGGTCTAAGTTGTAAAAATTTATTAATAGATGGATTTCTTACTATGGCACATATTATACCTTGCAGATACTTGGTTACTTTGACTATGCTTTCACAGCCATCTTTACTGTTGAAATCCTGTTAAAGGTAATGCATTGTTAATTGATCCTTGTTAGCTCAAAAGCAGCTTTAGCAATAATGTTTGTAACTTTTTGTTTACCTTCCAGATCCTAGGGTATGCAGATTATGTCTTCACTAGTATGTTTACATTTGAGATCATTTTGAAGGTAACAGGTTTTTAAAGGAAGTTTGTTTAAAAGGATTTTCCTTGTGTGTCATCTGCCAAGAAAAGGCACTTGAAGTGTTCTTCGCCTTTTCTCTAAGTGATCAAAGCTAAACTTTTTTTAAACCAGAGGATTTTTTTATTTGACAGTTCCTCATAGTTTTGATTGGTTATTTTTTACCATTGGGTGCATGAAGAAGCTGATTTTTTATCATTACATCAATTTAATAATTCATTTTTTACCCTTTTAAAACTTACAGTTGTCAGAAAAAGGAAAAATAATTCACTGCGCATGAGCTTTTCCTTCTCCTTGCTCTGGCATTTCCAAAAGAGACAATCAGTCTTTTCAGGAGAGAGCATGTAATTTCTCATTTCTTTTGCTGAACTATATTCACAGAGCTAAAATAGTAGATAACTATTTTCTTGCAATAGGACTTGCAAGATATCTTGCATTTATCTATCTATATACTAAGATACTTTGCATTTATCTTGGGCATACATTTAAATACACAGAAAGGCATAAATATGCTTGCTTAAATGTATTACCCATGCATGAGTCAAAAATTGGCATTTTAATGTATAGTTTGTGTACTGATTATTAAGAACATCCATTGGGGTTACTCAGTTTTTAGATGTATGAGGCTTACTCTGGCAAAGAAGCCATATAACTGAGGATTAGGTTCACATGGAAGAAAATGTTGAACAAAAAAAATGTTTGGTGGGAATTTGCGAAATATTTTTTCAGAGATTTACGCATGATTCCTACAAGTTTCATGCTGTGTGTATTCACCATGAGTTTTTGGTTGAGTAACCCTGATCTATACACTTAAAAATTTCTGGTACACTAAGAATCTGTACATAAACTTTGCATTTCCAGTTGAGGATTAAGCTTAACAAAATCTCTTCTCCCAGCTTTTGCTCATATTGCTGTGCATACTCTTCACAATGTGATTTGATTAATACTAATTGATGCAATATTTGGGCTGTTTACAAGATAAGCTGTACTGTAAGTAGTAGACTATTTTTACGCTTGCGAATATTCTCCCAGACTTCCATTTATCCCCTTATTTCTCATTTTAAGCAGCAAGGAGCTTGCTACAGAACTGATTAATCCTATAAAATTTGTAGCATTCTGTTGTGGTTTAACCTGGCAGGCAGGTAAACACCACACAGGTGTTCGCTCACTCCCCCTCACAGTGGAGAGAACCGGGGGGGTGGGAGTAAGATTTGTGGGTTGAGATAAACACAGTTTAATAGGACAGAAAAGGAAGGGAAGATAATAGTAATAAAGATAAAAGAATATACAAAATAAGTGATGCACAATACAATTGCTCACCACCCGCTGACCGATGCCCAGCCAGTTCCCAAGCAGCGGCCCCCTGGCCAGCTTTTCCCTAGTTTATATACTGAGCGTGATGTCATGTAGTATGGAATATCCCTTTGGCCAGTTTGGGTCAGCTGTCCTGGCTGTGCCCCCTCCCAGCTTCTTCTGTATCTCCAGCCTTCTCAGTTGATAGAGCGTGAGAAGCTGAGAAGTCCTCGACTTCGTGTAAGCCCTACTTAGCAACAACTGAAACATCAGTGTGTTATCAACATTATTCTCATACTAAATCCAAAACACAGCACTGTACCAGCTACTCGGAAGAAAATGAACCCAGCTGAAACCAGGACACATTCTAAAATAAATACCCATTTTTTTCGCTGCTAGAGAAAGGCCAAACTAAAGGAAAGAACGAAGCACTGATAAGAACTGTATCATTAGATCAAACTAGTTCCCAACTCTGAATTTGAGAAGCCATACAAAATGTTACCACCATTTCTGTGGCAGAAGAGTCAGTAAACTTCCACATGCTCTGAGCAGCAGGTTGTATAGCTCCTGTAGTTCCAATTGTGTTTCTCTAGGAGACGGAGTTATAAAGCATGACATAAAAAGACATAACTGGATGCGTTAAGAAACGCAGCGTTCCTACTAATGGCAAAAGATTCTGACACTGAGCGACTCGGGAGTTATCCAAGGGAAGTAGGAGGCTCTAGAGTTTGGGCTGCTGAAATCTGGCATTGTAAAATATTACAAAGAAACCCCATCATAGCCAAAAATGTTGGTGCTCCTCACTTCACTTTCTCCAGGAAGCTCTGCCCTGCAGCGCACTCACATGTATTTATAAAGGAAAATAAATTGTACCATAAAAAATATAATGGACAACCAGAACATGACACACATACATATACAGTGCCTGCTTTGCTAACATGTCTCAGACACTGGCTTTGCTTGCTTGTGGCTGGAGTCCTCCATGTCTTCCGTGCTGGGTTTTGCGCTGTGCTTTCCACAGTATCTAAGTCGTGCAGAAGCTGCGTGTGTTCTGCAAGGAGTAAATTCAAGGCTATACCTGCAGTAACAATAGCATTCTTTAACTTCCAGGCAAAAAGTATATGAAATTAAGATAACCAGATGCAATATTATCAGCTGTAGCGAAGAAACTTGTAAATGTCCAAAAACCAAGCATTAAACCAGAATAACTCTCAGCATGTGGAGAGTCTCTCTGTGCTCTATCTTACTGACTGCTATGCAGACATGAGAATTTCCACATTATATGGCATTGAGTAGATGAATGAGGATATGAATAACAGAAAAGCTGCAACATCAGTTTAAAGCATTTAATAATTCTCTTATGTAATCCCTACATGGCATTGAAATCCAGCTTACCATCCTGTTTGCAGTACTTGGGAAGCATGAAAACATCACAGCAAAAGTCAGGTTAGGGCCTTGTGCTTTTAACCTTACCCCAGCTGTGCTAATCCCACACCATTTAAACCATTCCCCACTGGTGTGGAATTACAGGCAGGAGGAAAAGAGCAGCGGAGGCGGTGCCCCCGGCGCTCAGCTCAGTGAGCGTCCTGCAGCGTCTGCTCCGCCGCAGGCTGTGTGACAGTGCTCACCACCTCAAATCCGCTGTGGGCTTTGCTTGGGTCTTGGTCTGTGTGAAGGATAGAATGATTTGCTATAGAGAGTTTTAATCAAATGCATCTGTTGGGATTTGTAGCGATTGGAATATGAGTCTCCATATAAAGATGGGGAGATAGGTACTTCACCTGTATTTTTAGGTCAATATATCTTTACTTTTGTGGGAGTCTTTACATGAAACTTTGTGTGCTGCTAACTGGTAACATACTACAGTGTAAATGAGTATTTGTAGATAGATGTAGGTTTGATATTCAGGGTTATTTTAGTGTTCAACTCCCACTGATTTTAATGAGTTTAGCCATACTCTGTACTGTTGTAAGTGAAAAGAGCTAGGACTTTATTGGCAATTTTATAATATAGTTATATTACCTCTCTCATGTCATGGCAGAGGTTAAGGCTTTAGGATTTTTATTCTTCTAGTTTTGAGGAACATTTAGTATTTTGATCACAACAAAAGCAAATTTAACATGAGGATAAGGAGAGAAGGGCTTCAAGAAAAATGCATCTTTTGTAGTTTGCATTCCTTTGCAGATACATAGCTTTCACTGACGCTAATGGTTTTTCATACAAAAGGCCTGCAAGTTTGTGCACACGAGTAGTGACACAGTGGACTGAGATGCCCATTGTCGGTAGCTCTGTTCTACATTGTGGAACAGTCTTGAAAGATGTCATAGTCTGCTGCAAGAGGAAAGGAAATAAAATCTTTTTGCTCCATCTTGAGGAACAGAACAGAATAGAAAGTAGTGCGTTTAAAATGCAGAGTCAGTATCAGATGTTCTCTGGCTGGCACTGAGTTTTCTTACCTGTGGAAAACAATGAGTAGCTGAGAGTACTCAGATCTTTTTAAGAGGACCTTAAGGCTGAAGAAATTAGAATCCATGTGCCTGAACTGACTACTAGGTATTTTTCAAAGGTATCCTTATTTTAATTTCAAGTTTTTAGTTTGTGTTTCAGTCTTAATCCATAACTATGGAGAAACCCATGCAAAATTCTACTCAAGTGCAGATTCTGTGCTTCTAATGACTTAACTGGATTCCTCTGTGCATTTTTTAACTGGTACTTACTCGCAGTTATGGTAAGGGTCTAATTCATAGATTTAGGAGCCAAATTCAGCTTTGCGATACCTGAGAACATCTGCCCAGATTCTGTCTGCAGCTATAATTAATAGAGCCTCTATCACTGGCTCATGCAGGTTCCTTCAGAAGATACCCATTGTGTGCTTCTTTCATCTTAATCTAGGCAGAGAAAGCAAAAAATGAAAAGAGAGTCCAATAGGGAGAGCAATGTTTGATATTCCCCACAGACCAGCAAAACTTGGGGACCTTTGTCCACACATAATACAAAACAATCTATGGGTTGTTCCAGGTTATTCCAAGATACCCACTCATGATCTTAATATGTCTCCTGTGAGCCAAAGGCAAATAGCTGTGTAATGCTGCCTTATGACAGCCTAGTGCTAGTTCTGTACCAGATTTGACTCTCAGGTTTTTGCAATACATTTTCAGCTTCTTCAATTCTCAAGACAGTATGAATGATTAGGAGTCAGAATCTGGACCTTGCAGTTTAGTAAGCATGGAAATTTTATGGTTCTGGTAGTCATTTTTCTAACAAAGGCCAAATCAGTTCAGTGTAATCACCTCAGCCTAATCAGTTCTTATACAAAATATAACATTTGTTGACATCAGAAACAATTAACACATTTGCTGGTGTTGCTTGAGCAGAATTTTTATGATTTAAATGAAGGATTTAATGTACATACTGGGATTGTTTTATATCTCAATTGCTTTTAGAAAGTGAGATAGTATTGTATGCATTCACACTCTAGGCAAGTGTCTTGTAAACAGCCTAAATGTGAATTTGAATAAATTGAAATATAGACTAAACGTGTGACAATTCTATTTTTAGATGACAGCTTTTGGAGCATTCCTTCATAAAGGGTCCTTCTGCAGGAATTATTTTAATTTGCTGGATTTGCTGGTTGTGGGTGTTTCTCTGGTATCATTTGGTATTCAGTAAGTACTATATTTATAATGTGAATGATTTATTTTTGCTTTGGGGTTTTATACTGAAATCAGTGTTTCAGCTCCTTTTGTTCCCCCGTTGTGTGTGGGCGTGCAGTATCAGTGTTCAGGGTTGGGACTGGCAAGAGGTGTAGTGCTTTATATGGTTGTAACTCATGACTAATATGGGTTGGAAACAAATTACTACTTCCTGCTATTACCAAGAGGACAAGGAAGAGCACCATGACACTATTGTATAGCAAGTGATTCCTGGAGCTTCAGGAGGTTTATATACCCTCTTTTGTGCTATTGCCACATCTACAATGTAGTTCTATGAGCTTGCTCTTTCAGAATTGACCTGCTGGGGTATGTAACTTGGCAGTATATGAAGGGGAGAGAAGTTGTACCTTAATCAGGACTGTAAGTGGTAGTGAAGGGATTTTTGTGCTTTGTTTGGATCAGGCGAAACATAATAGAAGAGTCTGAAGGTGCTTATTCATTCACTGAGCAGTTGTGTCTCATTTAAAGTCATCTGCGAAACCCTTAGTGACTTAGAAAAGAGCAAGTGCTGGGTGTCAGTCAACTGCTTCCCACTTTGTATTCTGCTTGTACTAGAATACCTGTTACACAAGCTTTCAGTTTCACAGAATGTTCTTTAAAAGGCTGTCCGCTGTTACTTCCTCAAAATGCAGTTCCTAGCTACTTAAACAAAGGGAATGTGAGTTATTTGAGATCTTTTCATCTCCAGCTGATTGGAAATTAAGGTATTCATTGATTTACAGGACTTACACAGTCTCAAAAGAGCTTGTCAAAACTGAAAAATACTTTGGGGACTATTATGCTTCTGACCAAACTTAACCACATTACAGTGTCAGACAAGCTTCTGAGCTGTTAATTCCCAAGTTGCTCCAGAAATCAAAATAATTCTTATGGTATTTATGAGATTGATACTATTTTCTAATATTAATAAAGGATCAATAATGAAATACTTTTAAAAAATCTTGTATATATATCTTGAGACTTTTTTGAAATTTCATGTGTAAGGAAGTTGCAAGAACATTGTTATTCTTAGTAATAAAATCAGTTACCTTAAAAGTAACAGAATAACTTTTTTTTCCCCCTAGATCAAGTGCTATCTCAGTTGTGAAGATCCTCAGAGTTTTAAGAGTCTTGAGGCCTCTAAGGGCAATAAACAGAGCAAAAGGACTTAAGGTGTTTATTTTTATTTTTAAGTTATATTTCTGTTGGCCTGATTCTTCACTCCTGCGTCAGGTTAAAAATTCTTGCGCAAGAAAAATTGCCTAGAGAAGTTCACAGGGCTAGGACATAAATCAGTTCCTGATTCTTAAACATATGAGGCCAGGTTCTGCCCACAGTTACAGCAGTTTATATGTGGAGGAACACCAATGCCGTGGAGAGCAGATTTTGATCATAATATTTGCTGTGAACCAACATGCCAGAGCAATATTTTAATTGTTTTTCCATAATGCTTATGTAATCTTTAGTCAGTTAATGTTGATGGGTCTATGTCAACAGACTTATAGACAAATTTAGGAAACAAGTTTAATTATGGTAGTAGGTATAATAATGACAACACAAAAATAGTAGTTTTAAAAAAAAATCCGAATGTGATAAAATAGACTTTTCCGGTTTGTTTTCTGTCATACTAAGTAACAAGTTGTGTTAAAATTTTTTTTTTTTTTTCCTTTCTTTCCAGCATGTTGTTCAGTGTGTCTTTGTGGCTATTAGAACTATTGGTAATATCATGATTGTTACAACGCTGCTGCAGTTCATGTTTGCTTGTATTGGAGTGCAGCTGTTCAAGGTATGTAGACATGCTCAAAATTTACACTGCATCAAGAAAAGCAAAGCTGAGTTGAATTCTTGGTGGCTTGCTGCTGGAACTGGGTTGGTCCCATTTTGAACCAAGCATAGTATAAATGTGTTTGTTTTGCATATTCTGCATTTTGTCTTTGCTTTTT